TGGACAATGACTTTCGCACCCATCAAGTACGGGCGGAACTTCTCAATTGCAAACATAATGGCAATGAGCTCTTTCTCTGTAACGGTATAGTTCACTTGGGCACCATTCATGGTCTGACTACCATAGTAGACCGGATGAAAAATATTGTTGATGTGTTGCCCCAAAACAGCCCCAACCGCTACATCACTAGTATCACACATGAGTTCAAAAGGGACACTCCAATTTGGAGCGGTGATGATGGGAGTAGTTGTCAACTTTAACTTTAACAATTCAAAGGCTCTCATGAACCATCATTGAAGTTAAACTTAGCATCTTTCTCAAGAAGCTCGCATAACGGGTTCACCACCTTAGATAAATCTTTGATGAAGCGTCGGTAAAACCCCGCGTGGCCTAACAAACTCCGCACACCTTTCACTGAAGTTGGAGGTGGAAGTTTAAAAATCACCTCAATATTTTCCTTGTCAACTTCAATTCCATTCTTTGAGATTTTTTGGCCAAGGATAATGCCTCTCTCCCAATTCAGCATCAAATTTGTTTCTTCACATCTTGCCAACACTTTATCTAAATTTGCAAGATAATCATCAAAAGAATCTCCATTTACCGAGAAGTTATCCATGAAAACTTTAAGGTAGTCCTCCACCATGTCCGTGAAGATAGCCATCATACACCTTTGAAAAGTCGTCGGTGCATTACATAAGCCAAATGGCATCCGCTTGAAGGCGAAAGGTTGTTTTCTCTTGATCCTCCGGAGATATAAGGATTTGGTTGTAGCCCGAATACCCATCAAGAAAGCAATAGAAAGAACGGCCGGATTTGGTTGTAGCCTGAATAGTCTAAAGATTGCAAAAAAAAGAAAGAAGACTAGAGATAATTGTTTTGGAGGTTTTTCCAAATTGATAAAAAGCCTAGAGTTGTGACCATTTTCTAGGTGTTTACCTGATGAGATAAAGACTTTAATGCTTGTTTTATTGATTGGGGTGTATTATATCAACCAACTCTAAATTATTCACTCAATACCTCTCGGTCAGAGAGTGGTTTTGCCCAATTTGGCTTTCTCAAGACCAAATGGGTATCACACTAAACAGTTAATAAAAGCTCAAGTCGGGTTATTGCTATCTCTAGGTTGAACCCTTTAATTGGGTTAATCAATCTCTTGATTTACCCAATTCCTTGTTCGCTAAGTTATCCTAGACTAGGTCTCTCTTTCTCAAGTAGAGACTAAGTCAAATAGACATGAATTAATGTTTGCAACCATTAATTCAACAATTAAAGCATGAACTAAGCAAAATAATAAACACCCAATCATAAACAAGCACTAAATTAGATACTCATAAGGTTTACACACTAGGGTTGGGTCACAACCCTAGTAAAAATCTAGCTACTCATACTTGGGTTTGAAGAAAATAGAGAAGAAAGACTAATTAAACTCATAATGAAAGCTTAAAATGATTAAATCTGTTGTAAAATACACCAAAGCAAAGTAAACTTCCAAAAATGGCAAAGAAAAATGGCTATAGTAATTTCAGAGGTTCAAACTTGACCTAATTTTGTGAAACTCGTCTATTTATACAAGGCTGAAAATCTTGGATAAAAATACCCCTCGGGAGGTTCTGTGACCGCACAATTCCATGTGCGGACCGCAGATTTCTTCATCTGGCAGGAGTTGGAGTTCTGCAGCCGCACAATTCTGAACTGCGGCCCTGGAGCAACTTTTCTGCAGTCCGCAGATTTAGAACTGCGGCCGCAAGATAATCTTCTGCGGTCCACAATATTAAGATTGCGGCCGCAAGGCAATCTTCTGCGGCCGCACAAATCTTGTGCGGTCCGCAATTCACTGAGGCTCTGGACTTGGTCTTTTTGCATACTCTCTCATATTGACTCCTAGCCTAGCTTTTGTGGCCGCATAATTATGTGTCGTTCGCAATTTGCACAAATGCCTGCTAATTGTTCCTTCTTTGTTTGCGGCCGCAGATGGAATTCTGAGGTCCGTGATTTTTTTTGCGGACCGCACATTGTGTGCTTTTGTGCCCTTTATTGCCTTGTGTATATACTGCTCCTTTTTTAGACGGATTTCACCTCAGGGGCCCAACTTCCAGCATTCCTATAATTTTACACAATTTCATTAGTTTTGGGAACACAATTCAATGCTTTTAGACTAAAACAAAAGTTAAAAGGCGCTAATAAGTAGTCTAAATCCCTGACTGTGATAAGCTTACTCTACAACATTATTACCTGACTGCTTCGTATTAGATATTGATTTTACATGTGTATCATTGCAAGTATTGTTTTGTATTCCTTATCGTGCTTAGCTTTATATTAATATTGCTTCTCTGTTAGTTCACCTTCATATTTGTTCAGGTTGTTTAGTCTGGTAGGTATCTTGACTGTCCCTCGTCACTACTCTACTGAGGTTAGTCTTGATACTTACTGGGTACCGCTGTGGTGTACTCATACTACGTTTCTTCATATTTTTGTGCAGATCCAGGTGCCTCGAATATTGTTGATTATTAGCTAGCTGGTCGAGCATTGCTGTGGAGACTCAAGGTAAACCTGTCGTCGTATTCTCAGGCTTCGGAGTCACCTTATGATATTGTACTTGTACTGTTTAATCCTTTTTCGAACAGTTGTATATAAGGATTTTTCTAGTAAACTCAGTAGAGCTTATGACTTGTACTACCGGTTTTGGGATGTTATTTCATGTTGTAAATGTTGAGTTCATTTAGAAATATCCGATTTCTGCTTAGTAGTTTTGTTAGTTAATTTCTGTCAATTTATTCAATAAGTGTTAGGCTTGCCTAGTGGTAGAGGTTAGGAGCCGTTACGGCATCCTATGGAGCGAAATGGGATCTTGATATGAATGACTTGGCAAAGGTTGAATTTAGATGTAATTGTTCTTATTGTAACCTCTGTTGAATAATTACATGATGATTTTTCACATTCCAACTTGTCTTAATTTTGAGAGGGAAAACGGAAACTTGGATAGAAACTTTTTTTTTTTTTGATTTTTTATCTAGTGTTCGGTATCCGTATTGGGACCCGACTAAATTTAAATTTGTGATGAGAAATCTCACATTAAAGGTAAAGTAATCCCTAATAAAGACAATTTCATATTCAACTTGAATATGAAACCTCTTATTAAAAATGAAGAAATATTTAACTCTCCCCGCAACTTCGTTGGTAACTTGGAGAGAAATTTGATCGTTCCAATTTCCAAATGTGCGGATTGTTATTTACCCAAAAAAAAATGTGCGGATTGATTTTATTTTATACAAGAAACGTACTCATTAATTTTTCTAAGTTTATTGGGAGGAGGGGCCCATGAATTAAATAAAGAAAAAAGAAGGAAAAAAAGCGAAGAAGACGAAACCTTCACTTAATTGGTAATAAAGATAAAATTATACTCGAATATCTGATTTCCCATTTTGCACCCTTTTCGTTTTTGCTTCATTTTTCTTCTCTTCAAAGTTGGTGTCGGTGGAAAAAGAAAACGCGACTTGCTTTCTCTTTTCCATATTTTACTGTGGTGGTGGTGAAATCGAGAAGAAACTTTATTGCAATTGAGTGTGTTCATAAAAATCCGAATAATCGAATCAAATCAAAAATCGAATCAAACCGATAAATAAAATTAATACTTTTTAGGTTTAGTTTGATTTTGATTTTAAATTTTAAAAATCGCACAAATTTGATTTGGTTTTGGTTTTAATTAAAAAATAACCGANTACATTCTAGTTTGATTGGTATTTTTCTTTTGCTAAGTACAAGAATTTATTTCATGTTAAAAATAATCGATTTTTAATTGAGTAATTAAATTATTCATCACTGTTTGATTCAATTATCATCAATATATCTTGGTAAATGATAGATTTCTCAATAACAATTGGTTTGATAGTGTTACGTTGAAAATATAATTATCTGAATATGTGTTTTGTAGTATATGTTTCATATTTAAGAAAAAAAAATGATAAATAACCGAAAAAACCGAAAAACCGACAAAAATCGAATCGATAAAAAATCGACTTAATTGGTTTGGTTCCAATATTTGAAGAATCAACTTACTTGGTTTGGTTTCTTTAAGGGAAAAACCAATCCAAGTCGAAAACGCCCCTAATTGTGGTTTTGGTCTTTAAAAAAGATTTAGTTATTCTCATTGTTTATTACGTAAAAAATTTAATCAGGAGTGGCGTGTGTTTACGTTGATTTCTGATTTAGAAACTACAACAACATACCCAATATAATTCTATGAGGGAGTGTACATAGACCTTATTCCTACTTGAAGGTAGAGAAACTATTTCCGATAGATTTTTGGTTCAAAAAACGCATAACCACAACAGTTTGGATAAAGAAAGACACCAAAGAAGAATCTATGTAAAGTGAAGCAGTAACCACATCCAGAAAAAGATAACCGAAACAAGAAACGTTAAATAGTATTAGAAATTTAAGAATAGGAAATACGAGAATATACTAGTCTACGGGTACAGAAAAGCAATACAGGTACGAAAAAAATTACACTCGACTACTTATATTAACCTACTACCCTAACATGCGAAGCTGAAAATATGTCAAGTCCTGTCTAATCACCTCTCCCCAATACTTTTCGGCCTACCTCTCCCTCTCATTGGCCCCACTATAGCCAACCCCCACACCTTTTTACTTTGGCATTTGTGCATCTATTCTTCACATTGTCGAATCATCTCAACCTCGTTTCCCGCATCATGTCTCTCGTACTCGCACCTTGTCCCGGATGCCTTCATCCCTAATCATATCTTTCCTAATTTGCCCATACACCCATCCCAGTATCCTTATTTTCGCTACTTTCATCTTCTGAATAAGAGCAATTTTTACTTGACAACACTCTGTCCAATACAACATAATCCATCAAACAATCACCCTATAAAACTTACCTTTGAGTCGGAGGTACCTCTTTGTCTTTTCTTTTCCCTTAAAGAAAAAAGCTTTATAACTTCCTATTGGGGAAAAAAGTAAGACAATAGTCATACTTGGATTCCAACAAATGAAACCAATAACTCACATAGTGTATTGTGTGTGTACATTCTTGTCGTGTTTACAAAAGAAAATCTGAACAATCACTCTCTATTCTCTAGGCTTCTCCAGTCTTTTCTTAGCACTTCTCAGATCTCTATCTATTACAAAACCAACGGTCATATTCTCAGTCTCTATTCAATTTCTTCATATTTATATTTATATTATATTTGTATAACCGTTTCTTAAACGACTACCTCCTTATTTACATTTCGTTCCCTATCACACTTCCTGTAACTGAACAAAACAAATGTCTCCCAAATTCTCATTTTCACTCCTTCTATTCTCTCTAATCTCCACCCTCTGTGCTGCCCAAGGCGGCGGCGGCGGCGGAGGAGGAGGAGGGGGGACGATTGAGTTGTGGTGTGTGGCAAAGAACAACGCAGAGGATGCTGCACTTCAGTCGGCGATTGATTGGGCTTGTGGGCCTGGAGGTGCTAATTGTGGGCCTATTCAACCCGGTGGACCTTGCTATGATGCTTCCGACATACAGAAAACGGCGTCGTATGTTTTCAATGATTACTTCATCAGGCATGGTATGACTCAGGATGCTTGTAATTTCGATAACAACGCTGCTCTCATTTCTCTAAATCCCAGTGAGTACTTTAATTTTAAACTTTCATTTCCGTATAATTTCGTAACTGAAATTGTTATTTAATTTGTTTTTCTGATTTCTGTTTTTGTTGTATAAACTTTTTTCAGGTCATGGTGGATGTAAATTTCCATCCAGGTAACTGTTATCGATTGTGCTAGAAGATCTTACTGTTGCCTTAAATGTGAATTATTTATTAGTATATTACTAAATCTTATGAGTAAAACTTAAAGTAGAGTAAATAGAGTTTTATACGGTAATTAATCACTTTAAAAAAGGAAAATGGAATAGTATTAGAATCAATCAAAATAGAATAAAAGCTTATATTTGATTCATGTTCGAGGATATCAACTGAACTTTGCGAAAAAAGAATGAAGAAGAGTTGCAATATGCTTTAAGGTTGTTATTATGGCTCTGCTCTTGATCTATATAGGCCTTATTAATTAGAAACTACTTTAGCGGGTAACATGAGACAGAGGTGGACCTAGAATTTGAAGGTCGGAGGTACACCTTTGGATTTAACTAAAATCTGCATTGTATGTAGGGTGTCCACTACTAATATATCACTAATTTTTAGAGACATATACATATATACATGAAATGGTTGTCGAACTTTACAGGTGCCAGTGACACCTCTTTAGCATAGGTCCGCCTCTGAGTCATGAGAGCCTTATTTGGTTGGTTTTTTGGTTATGTTGATGTGGTTCTTAATTTTGCTGGATAGGATCAGAAAGAATGTACTAATCATCTTCTTATTCCTGTAATCCAGTTGAATCGGATAAAACACTACATACATCGCAAGTTTTATCACATTTATCTGTAGGATTTTCTCAAACCATTAGAAAAGTATCTATCTTCTCTGTAGTATTTTGGTGTTGCTTTATGATCTCCGGTATAGACTTCAGTTTTTGAGGTATCTTTGTGCATCGTTGTGCAGCAAAAATGGGAGTGGAAATTTTAGTGGGTCAACGAATGTGGGATTAGGTCCGGCTTCAGAAGATTTGAGTAGCAGCAGTTATATTCCCAGGAGGTGGATCTATATCTTGATGGCAATCAATTTGCTGTTTTCAGGTCTGCTGATTTTGTGACGACGTTAGAAATCTAGTCTCAATCCCACTGTATGTAGTGTAGAGTAAACAGTTTTGTTGGGCAGCTCAAGAGCTGCTGCAGGTATTTGATGTTAGTTCCACGGGCTCTCCAAAATCTTGAAGGCCAGATTTGAAGAAATATCCTAAAAATATGTCTTCTTATTCGTTAATCAATGATGTGGTATGTAATTCTAACTTTAGATATGCAATTAGAACTTTCTCCTTGATTGCAAGTCTGAACTACCATTGTAAATCTGAGCATTCATCTTTAAAATGAGTTGCTAGCTGTTCTACCTTTTGGTTCTTATCTGAGTCTTGGATTGGATTCCGGGTGGACTTGTCATTCCAGTTATTTAGGGGTCGTTTGATAGGGTGTATAAGAATGGTAGTATTAAGTAAGGTGTATTAGTGATCTTGTGATTAGTTATACTGGGATTATTTCTTATACACTGTTTGGTTTGGTATATTGAAGGCCAGAATTGAAGAAATATCCTAAAAATATGTCTTCTTATTCGTTAATCAATGATGTGGTATATAATTCTACCTTTAGATATGCAATTAGAACTTTCTCCTTGATTGCAAGTCTGAACTACCATTGTAAATCTGAGCATTCATCTTTAAAATGAGTTGCTAGCTGTTCTACCTTTTGGTTCTTATCTGAGTCTTGGATTGGACTCCGGGTGGACTAGTCATTCCAGTTATTTAGGGGTCGTTTGATAGGGTGTATAAGAATGGTATTAAATAAGGTGTATTAGTGATCTTGGGATTAGTTATACTGGGATTATTTCTTATACACTGTTTGGTTTGGTATATTAAAAATAACATGCATTGCATAAGGGTGTACACATGTTTATCTATGTATAAAAAACTATGTTAGTACTATAATGCTGTCATGGTTTGCTATGTATTTGTTAGACATAGGATCATACTAAATAGAGTGTATAACTAATACTGTAATGCCATGGTTTGCTTTGTTATACATATTAGTTATACAATGGTTGAAAAACACAACCAAACAAGGAATTAATAATACCAAAACTTAATACATGTATTATTTTCCCCAATACATCCTACCAAATGACCTCTTAAAGTTTAATCCCAATGAGACCTAACTGTACGTGCAAGGCTGAGGTGCATCTTTCTTTATAATAAACTGTGTCAACGTAGTATGTCCTTCCTGGTGCTAGTGAATAACTGGTCATTTTCATCATCTCACTAAAAAAATGAGGGGATTGCTACAAAAATAGCCGGTCAGATTCATTGTTTCCTTTTTCTAGTCGGTATACATATATTATATATTGACTATACAAAGGTATACACATATTATATATAAATTATATATATATATATATTATACATCCAATAACTATTTTTAGTTTAACAAATTAGGTGGATGGTTATTTGGGTTAATTCTTCAAAAATGAGTAGCATCAGAATCTCTTTGTTGAAATGAAATTTATGGGTCAATGGATTGTACAAAACTGGGCTGCAACTATATGTGGGCCTAGAAAGCCGAAGTTTCCCCAGAAGGGCTTATTTTTGGTTAAGTGAACCTTTTAGTTGACTAACCTCGTATTAATTTTGGTTTGAGTTAATGAAGTTCAAGCAAGGAAGAAATGTTAGAAAAAATTCAGAACTTTTATAGAAGTGATATGTGACATCCTAGGCAAATCCTATGTCTACAAAACACGGGAAAGATGCTAGGTATATATGTATACATGCCTTAGATCCTAGTGACGCGTTTTATCACGGCTTCAAAACGTGTCGGTAGTATGTCACAATCTATCCTCTTAGTCTTAGATAATCTTCAAAATAAAACTTATCACGGAAAACTCTGTTTGAACATTCGAAGGAAAGAATTGGATGGAGGCAAATGACACCATCAACTTTGTGTTCAATTGTAAAAAACGTATATAGCCCAAAAAATGAACTTAAAATTACTACTTCCATATTAAGGACCTATTATCAGTACTAGACCAGCTACCTGAAAAAGGTAATAGTAATAACCATGCATTGGATTTCGATTATGGTCAATTTTTGTGTACCAATGTTTATTTTACGTAAAACTCAAATTGGAAAAACTTGGTCAACGGTTGGACAATGGACTCTGTTTTTGTTAATATCTGACTTTGGAAGATGAAGCCGGCCGCTTTTGAACAAATTTTGGTATGCTTTGCCACTTGAATATATACAGCTTAGGTCAACGGTTGATAAAATACGCAAAGTACGATCAGTATTATATATAGATTAAAAAGGGGACAGCCTCACCTAATTCTTGGATTCTCTTTAATCAATATGACTAATTATCACGTTCATCTTTAGGTTACCAAATACCATAATAATCATTTCTTGGACCAAAGCAAATCATAATCACCTTAGTTAATCCAATAGACCCTCTAGTCCTGTTCCAGTATTTCCCCTTTATCCACCAAGTGAAGTGACTATTGTCACCATTCTTTATATGAACTTCCTTTTAACGTACTGTAGGAATTAACTTATTTCCACTGACAAAAGTACTGAACGTTTTGCACAATCAATACAACTTAACTTGCTATAGGATGCCACTTATCTTATTCTTCAATTACTAATTCCGCTGTTTATGGATAGTTGTCCTGTAATTAATATTTAAATGATTTGAAAATGTAAAAAGTTAAACTCATTAGTAGATGACATATACAAACTTAGTTATAATGTAACCAAAATCCTCCCTTCAAATTAAAATGTACTGTTGGAAAATCAATTGTAGAACACTGTAGCCGGAGTAATAAATCATCTATTTTTGTCATGTACTTTAATTTATGTGTGTATACAAGAAAGCTATGGGACAGAGCTGTTCCCATGGCTAAGAAGTGAAGCACCATGGAGTTTCGAATTTGAAGTTTTGAACAAAGAAATAAACATCAAAATTCATACCTAATGCACTATAATCACTGTCTCTCAAGATCAACATTTATACCATCTTCTTCACCACAAGATTGAACAGCTTGAAGTCGTCTTGATGATATTTCCCTGCTAAGCATTCTCCTAAACGAGCTTAATCTCGAACTTGGTCCACTAATTTTAGCTAATGATGATGATGAAGGCTGTGTTAATCCGTTATCTGAACTCCCTTCAATATTTATAGCTACAAAGGAATGATCACCACCCTCGAGCGGCGGCGCCGAGGGCGGAGTGCGGCCTACAATGCCCTCTCGGGGCTCCGGCAATAGCCGGGGCTCCGCCTCAGTCCGGCAAATTGGACAAGTTGATTGAGACACCAACCATTTATCAATACACTCTGAATGAAAAATGTGGTTGCAATTAGGCAAAGTCCTAGCCGTTTCACCATCTTCAAGAACGCTCAAACAAATCGTGCACTCAACAGAATAATTTTCTTTAGCACCATCTGCCAGATCAGTATTTTGCTTGAAAGTAAATACAGGAAGCGAAGCTATAACAGACGGTTCGAGTCCTTGTTTGGGTAGCTCGACTTGGGCGGCGCTTAATTGTCGAAGCGCCGCCCGCTGTCGAGCTTGGCGTCTAAGTATACACCTTGCGTATATATGAAGGAGGGTAACGAAGAAAATGACTATAGATAATGAAATTATGGCTGTTAACATGATCTTGCTGTTAAGATCATATTTCTTTGTTCTCTGGTGATCAAAAAACGGGTGATCATCATCGTCAAAGCCCATGATGTTGTTCGCTGTGAGGAGAGTAGGAGAAGGGGTGGCTGTTACAATATTATAGGAGTGGTTCTATGTTTGGTTAAGACAATTTCAAGAACCAGTTTTTAAAAGGTTAGTCTTGGTTTGGTAATACTATAGCTATAGACAATGAAAGAAAACAAACCATGTATGTATACGAAGAAGTATATATTTTCAATGGGATTGACTTGTTGAATATTGACCCTCTTTTTGGAAGAAATCTTGCAAACTAAAAAGTGAAAGGGGTATGAGATTTTTTCATTCACTCGTGAATTTTGAATCTTAACTACAAGAAATAGTTAGCACCTCTATTTATAATATTGTAAATCCCACTTTGAGTAGAACTAGAAAACCTATTTCCATATATGAATTTTGCTAAAAATTCTATATGGACATGAATTAAAGAAACTAACAAATATTGAATCATAAATAATTCAGATTTTCTATTCTTATTTAATTTTAAAACTAGTAAATATCAAATCCTAAACAATTTAGGTTTTCTACTTTAAGCCCTACTCTTGGTTAGCAAAACTTATTTTTATTTAATTATTTAATAACGATGGTGTCATATTTGGGTTTTCTAGTATAGGGACCCATTGTTCCAAATGTCAGTATTATTCTTTTGTTTCTCAGAAAATTAGTAAAGTATTAACGAAGTTTGTTGAATCATTAAAATGTAATGCTTAAACGGCACAGTAATTACTTTATTTTTCGAAATAGAGAAAAATCTAGTTGGTGAATTATGAATTATTATTTTTGGCCAGATTTACCCTTTGAAATTATACATCTCATTTTCTCCTTTAATTTTGGTTTTAAACTTCAATACCTTTTTCTTTTCTTTCTATAAGAGTCACTTTTCCACTAGAAAATTGTTACAATAAAATTGATGCTTTTAATATGTTGCTTGTATAATTGCATTTATATGCTATTAAAGTTCAATTAATTATTTTCTCGAAACTTTCTCTCTATTTATTCACTGAAGTTGCATCTAAAAGTTCTTGAAAACTGAAATAAAACTTAGAAGTATTATAATTGTAAAAAAATGACGACATACTTTAAAAATTTGGAACCACAATTTTATTGAGCTAAAGTGGATTTTATAAATATAGTTCAAAAATATAATAGAAGTATCGTCATGTTCAGAGAAAAACTTAAGACGCGAATATGAATTTACTCAATTATTTTCGACTTGCTCTTATTTTTGTCCTAATTCACATGTTACTTTACCAAATCTAACTTTCCCTTTAAATGAAAGAAGAGCCAGCACTTTCAACTTTGACCTAAACTACTTTCTTTTTAAAAGGAGTATCAAATTTCTTGCCAGTAGGTAATACCTAGTGATGGACCATATCTTCTTTAATTTGTGTTGATACCAAGGAAAATGTTTTCCTCAAAATATAATTTTGAGAAAATATTATTAATATTTATATGGTTTTTTGGGTAAGTAACAGTATTTTTAAAAAATATTTATTAAGAATTAATAATATTGTCTAATAATTTGATAATAGTTCACATTGAAAATTTCATGAAATATTGGGCGTTAGACGATTGATAATAATGTCTATGTGTTGGTTGAAGCAAATAATATAAAGTAAGAGTCAAATATTTAATTTGTCAAAAACAATATTTCCTCAACGATGTTTTCGATAACTAAACAAAAAAACGATTTTATCGTTAAAAATATTTATTTAGAAAATATTTTCATCGTACCAAACAAACGAAGAAGAGTTTTAGCCATGCAATGTATTTTCTAATCTCAACCTAATTGATAACAGAAAAAGTGCAAGTAAATGCAAAGATAGTTTATCTTACAATTTATTGCATATTTCTCTGTTAGACTTCAACTGATTTACGTCTGTCCTAAATTATTTTGAAATTTATCTATTTTCTTAATCAAGAAATTGCTTCAACTCTTACATTAGTAGTCGTGCCTTCCTATTATTTATTGACTTCCAAATTAACTACCTT